CCCCAAAACCCCAAAACCCCAAAACCCCAAAACCCCAAAACCCCATTATTCTCAAATCCAAAATAATATTTGGATATAATTACATGTGGATAGGCTTGTCATGAGCGGCCATCATTGCTTCCTTAACAGCTTCAGAAAGGGTTGGATGAGCATGGCAAGTTCTAGCAATATCTTCAGAAGATGCTCCATACTCCATACCAACAACTGCTTCAGCAATCAATTCTCCAGCATTGCTTCCAATGATATGGACTCCCAAAAGTTTGTCAGTAGATTTCTCAGTCAATACCTTAACAAGTCCATCTGGCTCGCTATTAGTTCTGGCTCTGCTGTTAGCTGAGAATGGGAACTTTCCTACAGCATATTTAACTCCTTCTCCCTTTAGTTCTTCCTCAGTTTTTCCAACAGTAGCAATCTCAGGATGAGTGTACACTACTCCTGGGATGGCATCGTAGTTGACATGGCCCACTAGTCCCTTCAGGTTTTCAACAACACAGACTCCTTCCTCTTCAGCTTTATGTGCAAGCATTGGTCCTCTGATAACATCTCCAATGGCATAAACGTTAGGAGTGACAGTAGCAAAGTGATCGTTTACTTCAATCATACCTAATCTATCTGGAGTAACACCAATATTTTCGAGACCAAGTCCTTCAGTAAATGGTCTTCTTCCAGTAGCAATGAGGACATAATCAGCATCAAGAGGGTCTAACTTGTCTCCATTAACACTCTCCATGTTAAGGGTGACACCATCTTCTCTAACGTCTCCTCCAAGGACCTTGGTGCCAAACATGAACTTGAATCCTCTCTTCTTAAGGATATTAGTGAATGTTCTTGAGATCTCTTTATCGAAAGTAGGCATGATCCTGTCCATAAATTCAACAACGATAACTTCAGATCCAAGTCTGCTGTAAACGCTTCCCATTTCGAGTCCGATAACTCCTCCACCGATTAAGACCAATTTCTTTGGCACTTCATTGAGCGATAATGCTCCAGTACTACTGATGACTCTCTTCTCATCGATCTTGAGGCCACCTCCAGGAAGAGGGGATGGCTCACTTCCAGTAGCAATGATGGTGTTCTTTGAGCTAATAGATTCAGTCTTTCCCTCGTTAAGGTCAATAGAGATGGTATTAGCATCAGCAAATTTACCCCATCCCTTGTAGTAATCGACCTTATTCTTCTTCATGAGGAATTCGATACCTTGAGTCAGTCCCTTGACAGCAGATTCCTTCTGCTTCATCATTTGGTCGAGATCAAATCTGACATTGTCAGCATAGACTCCATATTCAGCAAAGTGCTGGACAGCATCTTCATATTTGTGGGATGAGTTAAGAAGTGCTTTTGAAGGAATACATCCGACGTTCAAGCATGTTCCTCCTAAGGTACCCCTCTTCTCAACGATGGCAGTCTTGAAGCCAAGCTGGGCAGCCTTAATAGCAGCGACGTATCCTCCTGGGCCTCCTCCAATGACAGTGATGTCATAGTTCTTGTTGGCAGTGGAGAATGCTCTAGCAAAGGATTTTCTCTGCATGGATAGGAAAGATCTAGCAAGCATTGCTTTTTAAGATTTATTTTTATATTATATACCAATCATGCTTGAAGGTTATGGGGTTTTGGGGTTTTGGGGTTTTGGGGTTTTGGGGTTTTGGGGTTTTGGGG